GGAGGAGGTGGGAGGCGGAGGAGGTGGGAGGCGGGAGGAGGTGGGAGGCGGAGGAGGTGGGAGGCGGAGGAGGTGGGAGGCGGAGGAGGTGGGAGGCGGAGGAGGTGGGGAGGGCGGAGGAGGTGGGAGGCGGAGGATGGTGGGAGGCGGAGGAGGTGGGAGGCGGAGGAGGTGGGAGGCGGAGGAGGTGGGAGGCGGGAGGAGGTGGGAGGCGGAGGAGGTGGGAGGCGGAGGAGGTGGGAGGCGGAGGAGGTGGGAGGCGGAGGAGGTGGGAGGCGGAGGAGGTGGGAGGCGGAGGAGGTGGGAGGCGGAGGAGGTGGGAGGCGGAGGAGGTGGGAGGCGGAGGAGGTGGAGGCGGAGGAGGTGGGAGGCGGAGGAGGTGGGAGGCGGAGGAGGTGGGAGGCGGGAGGAGGTGGGAGGCGGAGGAGGTGGGAGGCGGAGGAGGTGGGAGGCGGAGGAGGTGGGAGGCGGAGGAGGTGGGAGGCGGAGGAGGTGGGAGGCGGAGGAGGTGGGAGGCGGAGGAGGTGGGAGGCGGAGGAGGTGGGAGGCGGAGGAGGTGGGAGGCGGAGGAGGTGGGAGGCGGAGGAGGTGGGAGGCGGAGGAGGTGGGAGGCGGAGGAGGTGGGAGGGGGAGGAGGTGGGAGGCGGAGGAGGTGGGAGGCGGAGGAGGTGGGAGGCGGAGGAGGTGGGAGGCGGAGGAGGTGGGAGGCGGAGGAGGTGGGAGGCGGAGGAGGTGGGAGGCGGAGGAGGTGGGAGGCGGAGGAGGTGGGAGGCGGAGGAGGTGGGAGGCGGAGGAGGTGGGAGGCGGAGGAGGTGGGAGGCGGAGGAGGTGGGAGGCGGAGGAGGTGGGAGGCGGAGGAGGTGGGAGGCGGAGGAGGTGGGAGGCGGAGGAGGTGGGAGGCGGAGGAGGTGGGAGGGGGAGGAGGTGGGAGGGGGAGGAGGTGGGAGGCGGAGGAGGTGGGAGGCGGAGGAGGTGGGAGGCGGAGGAGGTGGGAGGCGGAGGAGGTGGGAGGCGGAGGAGGTGGGAGGCGGAGGAGGTGGGAGGCGGAGGAGGAGGTGGGAGGCGGAGGAGGTGGGAGGCGGAGGAGGTGGGAGGCGGAGGAGGTGGGAGGCGGAGGAGGTGGGAGGCGGAGGAGGTGGGAGGCGGAGGAGGTGGGAGGCGGAGGAGGTGGGAGGCGGAGGAGGTGGGAGGCGGAGGAGGTGGGAGGCGGAGGAGGTGGGAGGCGGAGGAGGTGGGAGGCGGAGGAGGTGGGAGGGGGAGGAGGTGGGAGGGGAGGAGGTGGGAGGCGGAGGAGGTGGGAGGCGGAGGAGGTGGGAGGCGGAGGAGGTGGGAGGCGGAGGAGGTGGGAGGCGGAGGAGGTGGGAGGCGGAGGAGGTGGGAGGCGGAGGAGGTGGGAGGCGGAGGAGGTGGGAGGCGGAGGAGGTGGGAGGCGGAGGAGGTGGGAGGCGGAGGAGGTGGGAGGCGGAGGAGGTGGGAGGCGGAGGAGGTGGGAGGCGGAGGAGGTGGGAGGCGGAGGAGGTGGGAGGCGGAGGAGGTGGGAGGCGGAGGAGGTGGGAGGCGGAGGAGGTGGGAGGCGGAGGAGGTGGGAGGCGGAGGAGGTGGGAGGCGGAGGAGGTGGGAGGCGGAGGAGGTGGGAGGGGAGGAGGTGGGAGGGGGAGGAGGTGGGAGGCGGAGGAGGTGGGAGGCGGAGGAGGTGGGAGGCGGAGGAGGTGGGAGGCGGAGGAGGTGGGAGGCGGAGGAGGTGGGAGGCGGAGGAGGTGGGAGGCGGAGGAGGTGGGAGGCGGAGGAGGTGGGAGGCGGAGGAGGTGGGAGGCGGAGGAGGTGGGAGGCGGGAGGAGGTGGGAGGCGGAGGAGGTGGGAGGCGGAGGAGGTGGGAGGCGGAGGAGGTGGGAGGCGGAGGAGGTGGGCGGAGGAGGTGGGAGGCGGAGGAGGTGGGAGGCGGAGGAGGTGGGAGGCGGAGGAGGTGGGAGGCGGGAGGAGGTGGGAGGCGGAGGAGGTGGGAGGCGGAGGAGGTGGGAGGCGGAGGAGGTGGGAGGCGGAGGAGGTGGAGGCGGAGGAGGTGGGAGGCGGAGGAGGTGGGAGGCGGAGGAGGTGGGAGGCGGAGGAGGTGGGAGGCGGAGGAGGTGGGAGGCGGAGGAGGTGGGAGGCGGAGGAGGTGGGAGGCGGAGGAGGTGGGAGGCGGAGGAGGTGGGAGGCGGAGGAGGTGGGAGGCGGAGGAGGTGGAGGCGGAGGAGGGGAGGAGGTGGGAGGCGGAGGAGGTGGGAGGCGGAGGAGGTGGGAGGCGGAGGAGGTGGGAGGCGGAGGAGGTGGGAGGCGGAGGAGGTGGGAGGCGGAGGAGGTGGGAGGCGGAGGAGGTGGGAGGCGGAGGAGGTGGGAGGCGGAGGAGGTGGGAGGCGGAGGAGGTGGGAGGCGGAGGAGGTGGGAGGCGGAGGAGGTGGGAGGCGGAGGAGGTGGGAGGCGGAGGAGGTGGGAGGTGGGAGGCGGAGGAGTGGGAGGCGGAGGAGGTGGGAGGCGGAGGAGGTGGGAGGCGGAGGAGGTGGGAGGCGGAGGAGGTGGGAGGCGGAGGAGGTGGGAGGCGGAGGAGGTGGGAGGCGGAGGAGGTGGGAGGCGGAGGAGGTGGGAGGCGGAGGAGGTGGGAGGCGGAGGAGGTGGAGGCGGAGGAGGTGGGAGGCGGAGGAGGTGGGAGGCGGAGGAGGTGGGAGGCGGAGGAGGTGGGAGGCGGAGGAGGTGGGAGGCGGAGGAGGTGGGAGGCGGAGGAGGTGGGAGGCGGAGGAGGTGGGAGGCGGAGGAGGTGGAGGCGGAGGAGGTGGGAGGCGGAGGAGGTGGGAGGCGGAGGAGGTGGGAGGCGGAGGAGGTGGGAGGCGGAGGAGGTGGGAGGCGGAGGAGGTGGGAGGCGGAGGAGGTGGGAGGCGGAGGAGGTGGGAGGCGGAGGAGGTGGGAGGCGGAGGAGGTGGGAGGCGGAGGAGGTGGGAGGCGGAGGAGGTGGGAGGCGGAGGAGGTGGGAGGCGGAGGAGGTGGGAGGCGGAGGAGGTGGGAGGCGGAGGAGGTGGGAGGCGGAGGAGGTGGGAGGCGGAGGGGAGGTGGGAGGCGGAGGAGGTGGGAGGCGGAGGAGGTGGGAGGCGGAGGAGGTGGGAGGCGGAGGAGGTGGGAGGCGGAGGAGGTGGGAGGCGGAGGAGGTGGAGGCGGAGGAGGTGGGAGGCGGAGGAGGTGGGAGGCGGAGGAGGTGGAGGCGGAGGAGGTGGGAGGCGGAGGAGGTGGGAGGCGGAGGAGGTGGGAGGCGGAGGAGGTGGGAGGCGGAGGAGGTGGGAGGCGGAGGAGGTGGGAGGCGGAGGAGGTGGGAGGCGGGGAGGTGGGAGGCGGAGGAGGTGGAGGCGGAGGAGGTGGGAGGCGGAGGAGGTGGGAGGCGGAGGAGGTGGGAGGCGGAGGAGGTGGGAGGCGGAGGAGGTGGGAGGGGGAGGAGGTGGGAGGCGGAGGAGGTGGGAGGCGGAGGAGTGGGAGGCGGAGGAGGTGGGAGGCGGAGGAGGTGGGAGGCGGAGGAGGTGGGAGGCGGAGGAGGTGGGAGGCGGAGGAGGTGGGAGGCGGAGGAGGTGGGAGGCGGAGGAGGTGGGAGGCGGAGGAGGTGGGAGGCGGAGGAGGTGGGAGGCGGAGGAGGTGGGAGGCGGAGGAGGGGGAGGGGGAGGCGGAGGAGGTGGGAGGCGGAGGAGGTGGGAGGCGGAGGAGGTGGGAGGCGGAGGAGGTGGGAGGCGGAGGAGGTGGGAGGCGGAGGAGGTGGGAGGCGGAGGAGGTGGGAGGCGGAGGAGGTGGGAGGCGGAGGAGGTGGGAGGCGGAGGAGGTGGGAGGCGGAGGAGGTGGGAGGCGGAGGAGGTGGGAGGCGGAGGAGGTGGGAGGCGGAGGAGGTGGGAGGCGGAGGAGGTGGGAGGCGGAGGAGGTGGGAGGCGGAGGAGGTGGGAGGCGGAGGAGGTGGGAGGCGGAGGAGGTGGGAGGCGGAGGAGGTGGGAGGCGGAGGAGGTGGGAGGCGGAGGAGGTGGGAGGCGGAGGAGGTGGGAGGCGGAGGAGGTGGGAGGCGGAGGAGGTGGGAGGCGGAGGAGGTGGGAGGCGGAGGAGGTGGGAGGCGGAGGAGGTGGGAGGCGGAGGAGGTGGGAGGCGGAGGAGGTGGGAGGCGGAGGAGGTGGGAGGCGGAGGAGGTGGGAGGGGGAGGAGGTGGAGGGGAGGAGGTGGGAGGCGGAGGAGGTGGGAGGCGGAGGAGGTGGGAGGCGGAGGAGGTGGGAGGCGGAGGAGGTGGGAGGCGGAGGAGGTGGAGGCGGAGGAGGTGGGAGGGGAGGAGGTGGAGGCGGAGGAGGTGGGAGGCGGAGGAGGTGGGAGGCGGAGGAGGTGGGAGGCGGAGGAGGTGGGAGGCGGAGGAGGTGGGAGGCGGAGGAGGTGGGAGGCGGAGGAGGTGGGAGGCGGAGGAGGTGGGAGGCGGAGGAGGTGGGAGGCGGAGGAGGTGGGAGGCGGAGGAGGTGGGAGGCGGAGGAGGTGGGAGGCGGAGGAGGTGGGAGGCGGAGGAGGTGGGAGGCGGAGGAGGTGGGAGGCGGAGGAGGTGGGAGGCGGAGGAGGTGGGAGGCGGAGGAGGTGGGAGGCGGAGGAGGTGGGAGGCGGAGGAGGTGGGAGGCGGAGGAGGTGGGAGGCGGAGGAGGTGGGAGGCGGAGGAGGTGGGAGGCGGAGGAGGTGGGAGGCGGAGGAGGTGGGAGGCGGAGGAGGTGGGAGGCGGAGGAGGTGGGAGGCGGAGGAGGTGGGAGGCGGAGGAGGTGGGAGGCGGAGGAGGTGGGAGGCGGAGGAGGTGGGAGGCGGAGGAGGTGGGAGGCGGAGGAGGTGGGAGGCGGAGGAGGTGGGAGGGGGAGGAGGTGGGAGGGGGAGGAGGTGGGAGGCGGAGGAGGTGGCTGGAATGACGACATGCGAACGAGGTGGCTGGCTAAAAACAGCAACTGAATTGATGCCAAAATAGTAAAAGGGAGGAAGCTTTACTAATGACACAAAGGAGGTAAGAGTCGAGAGAAGGGAGAAGAGAGGAGAGGGGCAGAGCGGAAGAGTGGCATACCACGAGGTCGTGCGGATGGAGCTTCATGCTTCGAAGGGAGATCTCCACGTTCCTCGACTTGGCCATGTCGATCTGTATAGTTGGGGGTGGGGGGTTGGGGAGAGGGGGATGGAATGCGTCATCTTTGTCCCAACGAGCTTCATGCTTCGAAGGGAGATCTCCACGTTCCTTGACTTGGCCGTGTCGATCTGTACGGTTGGCAGGGGCGTGGGGAATGAATGAGGACGGGATGAGGCATCTTGGACAGCCAGATGAAATGGATGAGGATTCATGCTGCCAAGGAGAGAGATCTCAACCGTTGAGATCTCTCGGCCATGTCGATCTGATCTGAGTGTACAGAGGGGGGAAGAGAGGGGGAGTAAGGTGGGGGTTGGGGGGGAAAGGGGAGGGGAGGATGGATGAGGCATCTTGATTCTTCACAGGCTGCTCCGCTGCTGAAGAGAACCCTGCCCTACTGGCGCACTGTTAGTTGGCACCACCTGGCACCACTTGGCACCACTTGGTACTCACAATGCGGATGACTTGCTTCTTCACAGGCTGCTCTGCCTGCTTGAGAGGAGCCGCAGCCTTTGGTCTAACTGCTTAGAACCACTTGGTACCTTTCGTACCACTTGGTACGGCTTGGAACCACTTGATATCTCTTGGAACCACTTGGTACTCACAATGCGGATGACTTGCTTCTTCACAGGCTGCTCTGCCTTCTTGAAAGGAGCCGCCGCCTTGGGCTCAAACCAAGCTGCATGGTACCACTTGTTACCACTTGGCACCACTTGGTACTCACAATTCGAATGACTTGTTTCTTCACCGGCTGTTCCACCTTCTTAAAAGGAGCCGCTGCCTTGGGCTCAAACCATTTGCATGGTACCCCTTGTTACCACTTGGCACCACTTGGCACCACTTGGCACCACTTGGTACTTACAACTCGAATGACTTGTTTCTTCACCGGCTGCTCCACCTTCTTAAAAGGAGCCGCTGCCTTGGGCTCAAACCAAACTGCATGGTACCCCTTGTTACCACTTGGCACCACTTGGTACTTACAATTCGAATGACTTGTTTCTTCACAGGCTGCTCTGCCTTCTTGAAAGGAGCAGCTGCCTTGGGCTCAAACTGCTTCTTCAACTCGCCAATATCGATATCAAAGTCAAGCTCTCTGGTTGGGAAGGATGGAAAGGGGAGAAGGGGAAGGGGAGGACGACTAATGATGGAGAAGAGAGGAATACAGAATGGGTGAAGGGCATTGCCTTGGGCTGAGACCGCTTCTTCAACTCGCCAATATCGATGTCAAAGTCAAGCTCTCTGGTGGAGAAGGATGGAAAGGGGAGGAGGGGGGGGGGGGGGGGGGAGGGAAGGGAAGGACGAGCATTGACAACGGGAAAGAGGGGGTGGAGAAGGGGTAAGGAAGGAAGGAGCCGCCACCTTGGGCTCAAACTGCTTCTTCAACTCCCCAATATCGACATCAAAGTCAAGCTCTCTGGTTGGGTATGGGAGAGCAGGATAGGGGAAGCGGGGACGGGTACAGGCAGAAAAGAGGGGAGGAGAAGGGTAAGGAAGCATTTGGTTAGGCTCAAACAGCCCTCTCGGGGCGCCATTATGGCTTTATTTGCAATCGACACGACCCCCCCACCCCAACGCCCGGATCCCCCCAAACACCCCCCCTGCTCCAAACCAACCCCAGATTAGAAGCATTACTGAAGGAAGAAACAACAACTCACGAAGCCCAGATGGTGCCATTTCTATTCGTCACACACCCCCAGTCCACCAGTGCCTGTTTCCTCCCAACCAAATAGCCCTCGCTCCAACTTTCCCAAATCAGAAGCATTACTTAAACAGGAGATAACTCACGAGGCCCAGACGGTGCCATCCGCGTCTGTCACGGACCCTCAATCCACCAGTGCGCGCTTCCCCCCCCACATCCCCCATCCCAACCAAACCTAGCCCAAATTAGAAGCATTACCAAAAGAAGAAAACAACTCACGAGGCCCAGATGGTGCCATCCGCATTGGTAACGCCCCCCCAGTCCACCAGCGCCCGCTTCCCCCCAAACGGTCCCGGTTCCACACCTTTCCCAAACTAGAAACGTTACTAAAAGAAGGAAACAACTCACGAGGCCCAGATGGTGCCATCCGCGTTTGTCACGCCCCCCCAGTCCACCAGCGCGCGCCTCCCCCCCCCAAACGGTCCCCCAGGAGGCGGACCCTTCCCCTTGAACCCAGGCGGGAGCGGAGGGGGAGCTTCGCCCTTGCCCCCTGGGGGGGGCGGGGGAGGGGGAGGCCCCGGCCCCTTAGCGCCTGGGGGAGGCGGGGGGGGAGGGGGGCCCTTCCGCCCAGGGGGAGGGGGAGGCGGAGGGGGGCCTTTGGAGCCTGATGGCGGGGGCGGGGGAGGGGGACCCTTGGCGCCCGGGGGAAGGGGAGGGGGAGGGGGGGGCGGAGGACCTTTGCCCCCAGGGGGTGGCGGGGGCGGGGGAGGGGGAGCAGGAGGAGCTTTCAAATTACCACCACCAAGTGACGAGCTAAGGGGGGGGGTCTTGGGGCGGGCCTTACCCCCCGCTCCCCCTGCTTCTTTCTCCCCACTCTCCTCCCCAAACCCTCCTCCTATCGTCCCTGCAGCCGCTTTCAACCCCTCCCAACCGACTCCCTCAGCCTTGGATACCCCAATACCCCTTCTGGCGTCTTTCACCTGTGTCCCATAACTCACAATCGCCCCCTCCTCATCATCCTCACTCTCTCCCCCCTCCCCATCCTTCCCCTTTTTCGCCTTATCATCCTTTGCTTTCTTCACCCATTTCTTTGCCACGCCTGCAACCTTACTCAAATCCTCCTCCCCCTCCAAACTTTTTTTAACCTCTGGTAAACCAGGGGGTTTCGTCGGGGTCAGAGAATCATTTTCCAAGCTGCCCAGGTCATTGGACGAACCCTCTCGAGCAAGTCTCGCTTTTCCCAGTGCAATAAACGAGCCGTCATCCTCGTCTTCCCAGCCTCTACGGCTTGGGGCATTTTTTGCTCTGCCCAGAGCAGCAAACGAGCTATTTTCACCTGCCCCATTGTCCCTCCCATCACCACCACTCAACTCATTCCCATCCCCTTCCCCGCCATACGAAGCACCGGACCTAGCTTTACGAATTGCCGCTGCTGCCACCGCCCTACTCCCCCCGTACCCTCTCCTGCCCTTTACCCGCCCTTCCTCCCTCCCCCCTCGCTCTCCCCTAGCCCGCTCCCCCAATTCTTTAAAGCTCTTACGCTCTTTCTCAGGCCCCTCCTCCCCCTCGTCTCCCTCCTCCCCCTCTTCCCCTCCCCCCCCATGTTCCCCCTCTTCCCCCCTTCTTCCCCGCCTTCCTCCCCTCACTACCCTTCCCCCACCCCCTTCTCCCCCTTCCGCCCCCTCCCCTTCTTCCACCCCCGCCTTTCTCCCCGCCTTTTCCCGCCTCTTCCTCTCCCCCAAGCTTCCAAACTTCCGCTCAACCTGCTCCTCCCCCTCCCCTCCCCCGCCCGCCTTTCCCCCTTTCCCCTTCCTCCTCGCGCCCCCCATGCCCCTCCCATCCTCACTCCCACTCTCCTCCCCCCAAAAGTCCATCTTCTTCGTCTCCTCCTTCACCTTCCTTACAAGCACCTTCTTTTTATTCTGCTTTCGTTTAGAGCCTCTGGGTGCCAGCCCTTCCAGTAGATGCAACCCCACTATCCCTTCCGACTGCCTCATAAACACCTCCCATTCAGTCTTAAACGCCTCTTTTCCGGACCCCTTCCCTTCCGCCTCCCTCCCCGCTGCTGCTCCCCCTGCTCCCCCTGCCCCGCCCACCGATGCTATTGCAGCAGCCGCGAGAATCCCGTGCTCGTTACTAGCAAACGACGGGTGCACCCCCGACGCTAGCGCATGCGGAGGCGTGTTCGGCGCGAACCTGGTAACCCTATTCGCGGACGAAGTAGACGAAGGCGTGGAAGCAGCGCTGATACTCGTGATCCAGTCAAATCCCGACGCGGGCCCTAAAACCTCCTCGAAATTCACCTCTAATTCCGAATCCGCGTGGCTACTAAGGTCATCATCATCATCATTTTCATATGACCTATAAGTGCTTCTGCTGCGCACGCTGCCTGCCTCGCTGCCATTGTCGTTGAAGCTGCTAGAGGGGGTGCTTGCGCCGCTGCTCACGGGGGTTAGAGTCCTGCTTCCTTTTCCGCCTAGTTTTCCGCTTCTCCCTGCGCCTCCGCCCTCGTCTCCCCGCCTCCTCCCCCCCTTCTCACCCGCGGATGAAACGGACGCGGAGGCCTTCCCCCGCCTGCCTATGTCCGCGAGCGTTCCGCCGCCCCCGTCTTCCCCCATCTCGCCTCCCCCTTCCGCCCTGCTTCCCGCTCCGGACACTGACGCGGCGGTTGCGAGGCGCCGCGGTTTGCGCACGTGCGTGTGCCCGTGCACGTACCCGGGGGTTGGTCCTCCTTTGTGCGAACCTGTACCTGGGCTCGCTGCTTCTGCGGGCGGCGCGCGCGAGGTCGACGCGATCGATCGCGTCAGCCTTGGTCGCGGCCCTTGCGACGCGTGCGACGACGCGTGCGACACGTGCGACGAGGAGGTGTTCACGGCGGCGGATTTGGGTCGCGCGTCCGTCGCCGGCAGGTCGTCGTCGGTCCATTTCTTCGACTTGGAGAGGGTGGCGAGGAACCCTAGCTGCGAAACGGGCGAAACCGGGAAGTTTTGTAACAGAAAATGACAACACGGACACGCCAACAGATCAGAATATGATACGCCTTAACGAACTAGTAACCAGTATTATCGCGTTAGTCCTTAACGCGTACAGAAGTACATCGTGAGCGGTACCTACTGAAGTTCAGCATGCTAGAGATGCAATTGGGAAATCCTAACCCTAAGAACATGCATCGGGAGCATTCAGCATGAGAAGACGAAACGACGCGAGTTCCGGGAAAACCTAACGGCACGTATCGGTTTCCCCTATACCGGGATCGAAGTGTACCTGTAGCGGAGCCTCGTTGGAGTCACCGAAAGTGGGAGCTGGCTCGCCTGTCGACGGCCGATCGACGGGGGAGAAAAAAAGCTAGGCTGGGGGAGTTTCAGGCAACCCTAAAGGCATGTATCGGGAAACTCTATACTGGGATCGAAGTGTACCTGTAGCGGAGCCTCGCCGGAGTCGCCGGGAGAGGGGGTTGGCTCGCCCGTTGACGGCCGTTCGACGGGAGAAGACGACGCGTCCTTCGCATTGCCGCTTCGAGATGGCCGAGGGCGGTACGGAGATTTTTGCGCCGTCGAGTCATTCGCCACATCGAGAGGACTCGGGGAGGCCTTCGCGTTGCCGCTTCGAGATGGCCGCGGCCGGTACGGAGATTTTTCCGTCGAATCATTCGGCACCTCGAGAGGAGTCGGTGCGTTCGCCTTGCCACTTCGAGACGGCCGAGGGCGGTACGGAGATTTCTGAGTCGCCTCAGTTGCCCCGTCAGGAGCAGACGGGGAGGCGCTAGCATTAAGTTCTCGAGGTTTCCGAGAGCGGTATGGAGACTTTTGCGTCGAATCATTCGTCATCTCGAGAGGAGACGGGGGGTTGGCATTGGGTTCTCGAGATTTCCGAGGGCGGTACGGGGACTTTTGAGTCCCCTCAGCCGAAAGATCCGGAACAGACGGGGACGCGTTGGCATTGACACCTCGAGACTGCCGAGTGCGGTACGGAGACTTATGAGTCGTCTCATTCGTCACCTCGAGAGGAGGCGGTGCGTTAGCGTTGACACCTCGAGATTGCCGAGGGCGGTACGGAGACGTGGGACCGGGACGATCCATCCTACAACTGCGGCGGCCTTTACGGCCCCCAGACTGTCCCTTCGCTGCTACTAGGCTCCTACTGGCCTTCAAGAAAGCACCCTAACTTGACGATGAACTAGTGCTGATTCACCTATACCTGCGACTCCGCCTACTGTCGCCTGGACCTGAGTATTCGCGCACTCCGCAGCCTAACTCACTAAAGAAAAGCCATAACCACGATCTGATCTTCTGAGGCGTCTCAGACGAACTAACGTTCTCCGCGGCGGCCTGAACTCGCTGACGCGCCGGCTGATAAAAGACGTGTTTTGGGACGTCTCAAGACGTCCCTGTGGGTGTGGTTCTTATGTCCGGAAAAGACGCCTGCTTGGATCCGTAACCTAAGGAAAGCTATCATGATGCCTTGGTTCTTGTGTCCAAATAGAAGCGCCTACTTGGCTTAACCGTAAGAAAGAAATCATGACGGCGTGATTCGTGCCGCCTGAAAGCGTTTCCGCATTGCGGTTCAGGGCGACCGTGCATCATGACACCATCGCATTAGCCGAAACGAGCCCCCTAGTGGCGCACTGCCTTTTCGCGCAGTGCCTGAGTTGCGTTGCAGCAGCAGGCTAACTGCACTCCTGTCGAAACTCTTTATCGGTATTCCACCTGAAAGTTTTGCTTCGTCTCTGCTCTACTACTAGTACTAGTTAGTGTCGGCAGGGCCTGAATAATGAAACGCTGACGGCGGAGTTATCGGAGTTACCTAGGAGATAGGCGGACTGTACTTGCCTGCCATTGTGGTAATTTCAATAGAACGGGTCTGATCTGCTTTGGTGCTGAGGTCAGGGCACAGAAAGTACTGAAGCGCGAATGACCGCTTTGCAACGAGTGGAAACATTTGGAACCGCTACGAATGTTTTGCGATGGTACTGTAAAGGGAAGCGCGGGAAGTTCTAAAAGACGTGAGTGGCTAATGACGCAATAAAGCACACACCGGTATTACGTATCTGAAATATTCTATCCATATACTTGGTATGCATGAATATCATTGTTCTCAACATTGAAAAAAAACTTTGATCTCATCCTGGGTTTACTCAAAAAGCATCCCAGATTTTCCATCCTCTTTGGCATACACAAAATGCAACCAGGTTCGAGGCAGCCAATTCTACAATGAAAAGCGAACTCCTCATCCTCTCTTGCCTGCTGAAAACACCTTAAAGCACTTGTACCCCTCACAGCTTCGCACAAACGGAATGCAAATCTGGCCGTTGGGGCAAACCTTCCTCAACACGCAGGGACGCTCATTCTTGCTAGGTCGCGCCTTCTTGTTAGGATGCTCCTTCTTGTTATTGTCACACACCCACGGGCATATGAGCCTCTTAACGACGCAGCCGGGGGGTGCAGGAGGGGATGTGCCGCCAGAAGGAGGAGTAGGGGCAGAAGGGGGAATAGTGGAAGGAGTGGAAGGAGGGGGGGTAGAGGGAGGAGTCAGAGAAGGGGGGGTAAAGGAAGGAGGGGGAGTAGAGGTAGGAGGGGGAGAAGGGGGAGGAGGGGAAGGAGGGGGGGGAGAGGGAGGGGGGGGAGAAGGGGGAGGAGTGGAAGGAGGGGGAGGAGAGGGAGGAGGGGGAGAAGGGGGAGGAGGGGAAGGAGGGGGAGGAGAGGGAGGAGGGGGAGAAGGGGGAGGAGGGGAAGGAGGGGGAGGGGAGGGAGGAGGGGGAGAAGGGGGAGGAGGGGAAGGAGGGGGAGGGGAGGGAGGAGGGGGAGAAGGGGAAGGAGGGAAGGAAGGAGGAGTCAGAGCGATAACCGCACCTATAAGATGAAAAGTGAAAACACGAGGAGGGTAATAGTACGAGGAGGGGAAACAACTTGTTTAGATAAAGAGGAGGACGGTATCAGAAGCAGATGGAGATACGAAATGCAAATAGGCATTGAGTTGGGAAAGGAGTGGGAGAGCGGACAGGAAGCGATTCCTCACTAGTCACATCCACAGCTACACGAGAAGGGTAAATACGAGGAGGTTACTACGAGAGGGGTAAACAACCTGTTTAGATAGTACACACGATGAGGGATAAAGGACTGCTTTAAAACGGATGTGAATACGACTGCAGGGACCACTAAGAGATGATATGGAAAGGAGCGGCAGGGGGAGAGGCTCATACAGGAGAGGCCAGAAAGGAGAGACTCTCATTGGAGGGAGAAAAAAGGAGGTGGTGTGCTAGATAGATTCCATTATCAAACAGGCGATAGTAGTCTTAAAACTCTTACAACTCTTGCACAATGATGGTCCGCCGCCCGACCCTTGATGATGATATCTAGGAACGTGGGAAAGTAGCACAGCACGAGTTGTGTGATACATCAAGGCGTCACTCACATGGCGCGATACAGACAAGAAGAAGACTAACGGCAGCGAGACGCATTATGCCCTTTGTAGCTGTACAAGCCATTTTGCCTCCGACTCCGACGGCTAGCGGCGCCGATCCGCCGAGACTGCCAGTCTTGGCGAACCGGCAGCAATCTCGCCGCGATCTCGCGGCGACCTCGCGGCGTGACTCGTGTCTCGACGATCTTTCAGGCTGGAGCGGCAGATCGCGCGACGTGTGTACGCCGCGGGTACGCGGCTCGTAGTCCTTCGCTTTGCGAGTAGAATGGCGTGGCAAGCAGGCGTCACGGTGACAAAAGGAGAGGATCTGAAGTGCACAACTACTGGCTGGCAGCACAAAGTTTTACTCAAACTACTAGGGGTACTACTAGACCCGGATTGCTACTACTATGTAGAAACCCTTGCAACTGTGGAGTTTAAATAGCGTGCACCATCATGATGGCAGCGCAAGCCTGGAGCAGCGCAAAGCCGTTGCGGAGCAGCGCAAGCCTTGCGGAGCAGCGCAAGGCCTTGCGGAGCAGCGCAAAGCCTTGCAGAGCGGCGCAAATTGCGCCGCAACAAGCTTGAAGCTTTGCGGAGCAGCACCACGGGCAGCACCATGGTGGATATCACCTCCGCAAGGCTTTGCGCCGTCTGCATGATCGTGCTGCCCACGGACAGCATGCCAATATTTTTGCACTGGGTGCCAGGTGGTCACTTCGCGAGTAGCGCAAGCCTTTGCAGAGCAGCGCAAAGCCTTGCGGCGGAGCAGCACCACCGTGGTGCCAGGTGGTGACTCTGCAGCGGCCGGCGAATGAAAACGAGACACCGACCTGTACGAAAACGCATCTGCAAGCAGATCCGTTGCATCGCGAGTATTATTCGTGAATCCGTCTCTTTCAAGCTGTCGGTTCAAACCATCTTCAGGAGGGATAGTACTGCCACTAGACCGTAGACCGTATACTGTAGTGTCGGCACCTGCGCGTGAAATTCATCTTTTCGTTTCAGACGAGGAGATCATATGACAGCAAGCACTGCTTGAAATCCATCCGACGATCTGACTCGCACCGCGTGATGCGTGGTTCCCGACAACATGTGGTTGCGTGGGAGCAGCACTGCTCAAAGCTGCAGAATAAGAAAAACTACTCTCCCATCTCCTTTCGCTTCCCCTCCCCTCACAGATCCAGAAGTGGCCTAGTCAGTAGAAAGAGGCACTTCCGATAGATGAGGTCATGGAATCGAACCCACCCCCGTGCAGGTGTGTTCTGCCAGCCCCAAGTAGGGGTTAGCACGTGCTCATCTGTTATGAGTTGTAAAAGAGAGTGCGCAGGTAAACGAATAACGAGGCTGTGACTGAATGAACTGCGAATACAATGAATGCACAGACTAATGTAGGGCTAGCCTAGCTAGGAGGAAACCTCGGACAAGCGAGGTTGGGTGCAGGTTTGGCGCGTAGCGTTGAAATCGGCCGAACGTGCGAACTCCGAAAATCGGGTTGTACGCGAAGCAGTCAACCCCGATAAGGAATTCAGGAAAATTCCTTACACCACCCCCCCCCCCTTAAGAAAGGCGGTCAATATCCGAAACACGCCGGCGCGCCAGGTAATCCCCAACAAGTGGCGAGGCGTCGAGCGAGGCGGATGGCACCCACGTGTCGTCCTCACTGGGTGCGGTCAGTCCAGCGGATTAGAAAATCCACGTGTCGTCCAGCTGCGTCAATGCGGACCCTATGTGCCAAAATCTTCGATGGGTCGAGAGTCGGCTCCGGCACAGGTCGTGCTGTCGGGGCAGCTTGCTGACGTGCGATATCGGTCGTGGCTGGCACGAACTTGCGAAGAAGGCTGACGTGGAAGGCGTCGTGAATGCGCCAGTCGTCCGGTAGCAACAGCTTCGCGGTGACAGGTGTCACCATCTTGAGAATCTTGAAAGGTCCACAAAATCGTGGCCGTAGTTTCGACGGGCCGGGCAGGTGCAGGTTCTTCGTGTCAAGTAGCACTAGTTGCCCAGTGGTCAAGACGAGTTCCCGGCGTAGAAGGTCGGTGTATTTTCGAGAAGTAATATTCGCCTTGCGGATTGCGTCGGCGGCTTTTTCTCGGACTTCCTGAAGTTCCGTCACGAAAGTCTGTGACCTCGGGACCGGGTTGTCGAGAGTGGTTGCCGTAGGAACTGTCGGGTCCATCCCGTGATTTAGAAAAAACGGGGAGTGATTAGTCATGCTGGACGGTGCGTTGTTGAAAGCGAACTCCAACATTGCGAGGGAGTCTTCCCAGCGGGCAGGGTCGGGGCAGTTTGTCCTGATCAGCTGCTCCATGGTCTGATTGGTCCGCTCGGTTTGACCGTCCGTCTGTGGGTGATATGCCGATGAGAACTGTAGCTTCGTGCCGTACTGCGCCCACGTCTCCTTCCAGAACTTTGATGTGAACTTCGGGTCTCGGTCGCTGATGATCGCCGAAGGGATGCCGTGCAGTCGCACGACCGTTGAGATGAAGAGGCGCGCAGTTTCTTCGGCTGTGATTGTCGTTCGGCATGGTGCGAAGTGCGCCATTTTTGTGAAGCGATCGACGACGACGAGAACAGCGTCGTTGCCGGACGGCCCAGTTGGCATCCCCGTGACGAAATCCATCGTCACTTGCTGCCACGGTCGTTCGGGTGGCTCGAGGGGTTGCAGCAGTCCAGCTGGCCGCTGACGTGTCGATTTCATTGCTTGGCACACCCTGCATGAGGACACATAGCGCTGCACGTCGTTAGAGGAATCAGGCCAATAGTATTGACGGTGCAGTAGTTTCTGGGTTTTATCAACCCCGAAGTGTCCGGAGAAGTTCGAATCGTGGACCTCTTGGATAAGGAGTTCACGCAGCAGCCTGTAAGCGGGGACCCAAATCCGGTCGGTTCCGGCCTTTAGATAATAGTCCCCTTTCTGCGTCGTAGCCTGCCGATGATTTCCCGTCGTGAAGAATGGGTCCGTAGTGTAGCCGTGGGTAAATAGTCCGGTAAGTAACGGGTTCGAGTGGGTGATGAGTACTGCAGCGGATTGTACTGTCGGTCGGGTCAGGGCGTCTGCGATGTTATTCGCCCCCTTTTTGTACGTGATGCGGTAGGTGAAGTGGCTCTCCATGTAGTCCAGCCACCGAATCTGTCGTGGGTTGAGATTGGGTTGGGCTCGCAGGTACTGGAGGGACTTGTGGTCCGTGCGAACAGTAACGTCGGCGCCCACCAGGTAGCATCGCCATAATTTAAACGCGTGTATGATGGCGAGCATCTCCTTGTCGTGGATCGGGTAGTTGCGTTCAGCCGCCTGCAGCTTGCGTGATTCGTAGGCTATCGGCTGCAACCCGTTCCCGAAATCATGGAGTAGCACAGCTCCGATGGCGAAATCTGAGGCGTCGGTGACGATTTCGAACGGCTTCGATGGGTCGGCGATGCGCAGCACAGGAGGGGAAACTAGGAAGTTCTTGAGTTCCTGGAAAGCCGCTTCTGCCTCCTCCCCCCACACAAATTCCTGTCCTTGTGCAGCAGGTCGGTCAGCGGGCCGGTTATCCCCGCCATTTTCGGGATAAACCGCCTACCGTAATTCACGAATCCGAGAAAACTCTGGAGTTCCGTGACATTCGTCGGGGACTTCCACTCCTGTATGGTCTTGATTTTCGCCGGGTCGATTTTAATGCCGTCGCGTGAGATGACGTGCCCCAAAAACTCCAACTCCTGCTTAAAAAACTCGCACTTAGAGCCCTTGGTGATGAGTCGGTTCTCCTGCAGCCGCTTAAACACTGCATCCAGGTCACGGAGGTGCTGCTCTCGTGTCTTGCTAAAAATGAGGATATCGTTGATAAGAAACGAGGAATGGAATGACTAAGGGAAAAGTTGGGTACAAGTACAAACCCTAGAAGTGTGTTGTACCCCATATGTGCTGCCCCACTATAGCCTACATAGGCTAAGTCATATAAGTCTGACACACCCCCATAGGAAAAGTGGGGGAGAACAAGGGGTCACAAGACCAGTCAAGCAAAACAAAGCAAGCTCAGGGTGGATCACAACGTCACCACACAGTCCGAGCACAAGAGCAAGGCCACAAGGCCAGTTCACATGTAAGATCATATATAAAGGTAAACAAGCAAGTGCAGGTATAGAAAGATCACAGTACAAGCAAGGTCAAGAAGTGAGAAAGTGAGGCCAAGTAGGCACAAGACCTAGCATCGTACAGAGGCGCTGATGATCACAAGGCAGAAGTGCCTTGGTAAAGATATCAGCAGTGTTGGCCTCAGAGGCCACGTAAGCAAGGCGCAGCTAACCACGCTGCTGCAGCTCACGAGCAAGGAAGTAGCGAAGAGCAATGTGCTTTGTTCTGTGCTCCAGTCTGTGCTCCCGACACAAGGCCAGCATGGCCTTGTTGTCTACGTACAGAACTGGAGGAGAACGAGGTGGCTCTCCTAGGTCAGTCAGCAGGTAGGTGAGCCAGCGTAGCTCCTGCGCAGCCATGGCCCCCGCGTAGATCTCAGCCTCACAGCTGGAGCCGAGAACAGAAGACGAGCGGGTAGACCGCCACGAAACAGAGCTCGAGCCAAGGCTGAAGGTGTAACCCTGTGACGACCGCTGCGTAGCCTGGTCGTCAGCCCAAGAAGCGTCTGCGTGACCTGTGAGGACCACTCGACGTCGCCCTCCAAGCACTAGCCCCATGCCCGACGTACTGCACAAGTAGCGCAACACCCTCTTCGCTGCAGCCATGTGCTCTGGTCGGTGTCTCCCAGGAGCAACATAGCGTGCCAAGATGCTAAGAGGGTATGCGAGGTCAGGTCGTGTGCAGGTCATCAGGTACATGAGGCAGCCAACAAGCTCTGGGTACGGGCCACTCGGCTCTACGGACTCATCCGAAGGCAGAGCTGAGAGCGAGTGGCGAGTAGACAGAGGAGTGGCCTGAGGCGAGGAGTACGTGAAGTCGAAGCGCTGAAGGACCTGCTGCACCATGTGTGACTGAGTCAGGGTAATGGTGCGCTGTGCTCTGTCCCGGGTGATCTGCAAGCCAAGGTAGCTGCGCAGTTCACCCAGGTCTGTGCACGTGTG